TCGTATTATCTCTCGGAAGAATGTTCTTGCAAGATATCTCATTAGTCTCTCCATAGAAAACAGAATTGTCTCTGTATTATCTCTCGGAAGAATGTTCTTGCAAGATATCTCATTAGATCTCTCTATAGAAAAAACAGAATTGTCTCGTATTATCTCTCGGAAGAATGTTCTTGCAAGATATCTCATTAACCTCTCCAGAGAAAACAGAATTGTCTCGTATTATCTCTCGGAAGAATGTTCTTGCAAGATATCTCATTAGTCTCTCCAGAGAAAACAGAATTGTCTCGTATTATCTCTCTCGGAAGAATGTTCTTGCAAGATATCTCATTAGTCTCTCCAGAGAAAACAGAATTGTCTCTGTATTATCTCCTTGAAGAATGTTCTTGCAAGATATCTCATTAGTCTCTCCAGAGAAAACAGAATTGTCTCGTATTATCTCTCGGAAGAATGTTCTGCAAGATATCTCATTAGTCTCCATAGAGAAAACAGAATTGTCTCTGTATTATCTCTCGGAAGAATGTTCTTGCAAGATATCTCATTAGTCTCTCTCCAAAGAAAACAGAATTGTCTGTATTATCTCTCGGAAGAATGTTCTTGCAAGATATCTCATTGGGGTCTCTCCAGAGAAAACAGAATTGTCTCGTATTATCTCTCGGAAGAATGTTCTTGCAAGATATCTCATTAGTCTCTCCATAGAAAACAGAATTGTCTCGTATTCTCTCGGAAGAATGTGTTCTTGCAAGACATCTCATTAGCCTCCAGAGAAAAACAGAATTGTCTCCATTATCTCTCGGAAGAATTTTCTTGCAAGATATCTCATTAGTCTCCATAGAAAACAGAATTGTCTCGTATTATCTCTCGGAAGAATGTTCTTTAAAGATATCTCATTAGTCTCTCCATAGAAAACAAGAATTGTCTCGTATTATCTCTCGGAAGAATGTTCTTTGCAAGATATCTCATTAGCCTCTCCATAGAAAACAGAATTGTATTATGTATCTCTCGGAAGAATGTTCTTGCAAGATATCTCATTAGTCTCTCCAGAAAACAGAATTGTCTCTCATTATCTCTTGGAAGAATGTTCTGCAAGATATCTCATTAGTCTCTCCAGAGAAAACAGAATTGTCTCGTATTATCTCTCGGAAGAATGTTCTTGCAAGATATCTCATTAGTCTCTCCAGAGAAAACAGAATTGTCTCGTATTATCTCTCGGAAGAATGTTCTTTGCAAGATATCTCATTAGTCTCTCTCCATAGAAAACAGAATTGTCTCTGTATTATCTCTCGGAAGAATGTTGTTTGCAAGATATCTCATTAGTCTCTCCAGAGTAAAACAGAATTGTCTCATTATCTCTCGGAAGAATGTTCTTGCTAGATATCTCATTAGTCTCTCCATAGAAAACAGAATTGTCTCGTATTATCTCTCGGAAGAATATTCTTGCAAGATATCTCATTAGTCTCTCCAGAGAAAACAGAATTGTCTCGTATCTCTCGGAAGAATGTTCTTGCAAGATATCTCATTAGTCTCCATAGAAAACAGAATTGTCTGTATTATCTCAGAAATGTTCTGCAAGATATCTCATTAGTCTCTCCATAGGAAGAATTGTCTCGTATTATCTCTCGGAAGAATATTCTTGCAAGATATCTCATTAGTCTCCATAGAAAAACAGAATTGTCTCTGTATTATCTCTCGGAAGAATGTTCTTGCAAGATATCTCATTATCTCCAGAGAAAACAGAATTGTCTCATTATTATCTCGGAAGAATGTTCTTGCAAGATATCTCATTAGTCTCCAGATAGAAAACAGAATTGTCTCGTATTATCTCTCGGAAGAATGTTCTTGCAAGATATCTCATTAGTCTCTCCATAGAAAACAGAATTGTCTCGTATTATCTCTCGGAAGAAGAATGTTCATTTTGAGAAAAGAATATCTCATTAGTCTCTCCATCCATAAAACAGAATTGTCTCGTATTATCTCTCGGAAGAATGTTCTGCAAGATATCTCATTAGTCTCTCCAGAAAACAGAATTGTCTCGTATTATCTCTCGGAAAGAATGTTCTTTAAAGATATCTCATTAGTCTCTCCATAGAAAACAGAATTGTCTCGTATTATCTCTCGGAAGAATGTTCTTGCAAGATATCTCATTAGCCTCTCCAGAGAAAACAGAATTGTCTCGTATTATCTCTCGAAGAATGTTCTTGTAAGATATCTCATTAGTCTCTCCAGAGAAAACAGAATTGTCTCGTATTATCTCTCGGAAGAATGTTCTTGCAAGATATCTCATTAGTCTCTCCATAGAAAACAGAATTGTCTCTCATTATGGAAGAATGTTCTGCAAGATATCATTAGCCTCTCCAGAAAACAGAATTGTTCTCGTATTATCTCTCGGAAGAATGTTCTTGCAAGATATCTCATTAGTCTCTCCATAGAAAACAGAATTGTCTCGTATTCTCGGAAGAATCTCTCTGCAAATATCTCATTAGTCTCCATAGAAAACAGAATTGTCTCTGTATTATCTCAGAGAAACAGAATTAAGAATGTTCTCAAGATATCTATTCTCTCCATAGAAAACAGAATTGTCTAGTATTATCTCTCGGAAGAATGTTCTTGCAAGATATCTCATTAGTCTCTCCAGAGAAAACAGAATTGTCTCGTATTATCTCTCGAAGAATGTTCTTGATATCTCATTAGCCTCTCCAGAGAAAAACAGAATTGTCTCGTATTATCTCTCGGAAGAATGTTCTTGCAAGATATCTCATTAGTCTCCAAGAGAAAACAGAATTGTCTCGTATTATCTCTCGGAAGAATGTTCTTTGCAAGATATCTCATTAGTCTCTCCATAGAAAACAGAATTGTCTCTTGTATTATCTCTCGGAAGAATGTTCTTGCAAGATATCTCATTAGTTCTCCATAGAAAAAACAGAATTGTCTCGTATTATCTCTCGGAAGAATTTTCTTGCAAGATATCTCATTAGTCTCTCCAGAGAAAACAGAATTGTCTCGTATTATCTCTCGGAAGAATGTTCTTGCAAGATATCTCATTAGTCTCTCCAGAGAAAACAGAATTGTCTCGTATTATCTCTCGGAAGAATGTTCTTGCAAGATATCTCATTAGTCTCTCCAGAGAAAAACAGAATTGTCTCGTATTATCTCTCGGAGAATGTTCTTGCAAGATATTCATTAGTCTTCCATAGAAAACAGAATCATTCGTATTATCTCTCCAGTCTCCATAGAAAACAGAATTGTCTTCGTATTATCTCTCGGAAGAATGTTCTTGCAAGATATCTCATTAGTCTCTCCATAGAAAACAGAATTGTCTCTGTATTATCTCTCGGAAGAATGTTCTTGCAAGATATCTCATTAGTCTCTCCAGAAAACAAAACAGAATTGTCTCGTATTATCTCTCGGAAGAATGTTCTTGCAAGATATCTCATTAGTCTCTCCATAGAAAACAGAATTGTCTCGTATTATCTCTCGGAAGAATGTTCTTGCAAGATATCTCATTAGTCTCTCCAGATAAAACAGAATTGTCTCGTATTATCTCTGGGAATAATGTTCTTGCAAGATATCTCATTAGTCTCTCCATAGAAAACAGAATTGTCTCGTATTATCTCTCGGAAGAATGTTCTTGCAAGATATCTCATTAGTCTCTCCAGAGAAAACAGAATTGTCTCGTATTATCTCTCGGAAGAATGTTCTTGCAAGATATCTCATTAGTCTCTCCATAGAAAACAGAATTGTCTCGTATTATCTCTCGGAAGAATGTTCTTTTGCAAGATATCTCATTAGCCTCTCCTCAGAAAAACAGAATTGTCTCGTATTATCTCGGAAGAATGTTCTTTGCAAGATATCTCATTAGCCTCTCCATAGAAAACAGAATTGTCTCTGTATTATCTCTCGAAGAATGTTCTTGCAAGATATCTCATTAGTCTCTCCATAGAAAAACAGAATTGTCTCGTATTATCTCTCGGAAGAATGTTCTTTAAAGATATCTCATTAGTCTCTCCAGAGAAAAACAGAATTGTCTCGTATTATGTCTCGGAAGAATGTTCTTGCAAGATATATCTCATTAGTCTCTCCAGAGAAAAACAGAATTGTCAGTATTATCTCTCGGAAAAATGTTCTTGCAAGATATCTCATTAGCCTCTCCAGAAAACAGAATTGTCTGTATTATCTCTCGGAAGAATGTTCTTGCAAGATATCTCATTAGTCTCTCCATAGAAAACAGAATTGTCTCGTATTATCTCTCGGAAGAATGTTCTTTGCAAGATATCTCATTAGTCTCTCCAGGAGAAAACAGAATTGTCTCGTATTATCTCTGGGAAGAATGTTCTTGCAAGATATCTCATTAGTCTCTCCAGAAAAACAGAATTGTCTCGTATTATCTCTCTCGGAAGAATGTTCTTGCAAGATATCTCATTAGTCTCTCCAGAGAAAAAACAGAATTGTCTCGTATTATCTCTCGGAAGAATGTTCTTGCAAGATATCTCATTAATCTCTCCAGAGAAAAACAGAATTGTCTCGTATTAGGTCTCGGAAGAATGTTCTTGCAAGATATCTCATTAGTCTCTCCATAGAAAACAGATGTCTTGTTCTGCAAATATCCTCATTTGTCTCTCCAGAGAAAACAGAATTGTCTCGTATTATTCTCGGAAGAATGTTCTTGCAAAGATATCTCATTAGCCTCTCCAGAAAAAACAGAATTGTCTCGTATTATCTCCTCGGAAGAATGTTCTTGCAAGATATCTCATTAGTCCTCCATAGAAAACAGAATTGTCTCTGTATTATCTCTCGAAGAATGTTCTGCAAGATATCCATTAGTCTCTCCAGAGAAAACAGAATTGTCCGTATTATCTCTCGGAAGAATGTTCTTGCAAGATATCTCATTAGTCTCCATAGAAAACAGAATTGTCTCGTATTATCTCTCGGAAGAATGTTCTTGCAAGATATCTCATTAGTCTCTCCAGAGAAAACAGAATTGTCTCGTATTATCTCTCGGAAGAATGTTCTTGCAAGATATCTCATTAGTCTCTCCAGAGAAAACAGAATTGTCTCGTATTATCTCTCGGAAGAATGTTCTGCAAGATATCTCATTAGTCTCCATAGAAAACAGAATTGTCTCGTATTATCTCTCGGAAGAATGTTCTGCAAGATATCTCATTAGTCTCCAGAGAAAAAGAATTGTCTCTGTATTATCTCTCGGAAGAATGTTCTTTGCAAAATATCTTATTAGTCTCTCATTACCTCTCCGGAAGAATATTCTTGAAGAAGATACATTAGTCAGTATCTCCATAGAAAACAGAATTGTCTCGTATTATCTCTCGGAAGAATGTTCTTTTGCAAGATATCTCATTAGTCTCCTCCATAGAAAAACAGAATTGTCTCTGTATTATCTCTCGGAAGAATGTTCTATAAAAAGATATCTCATTAGTCTCTCCATAGAAAAAACAGAATTGTCTCGTATTATCTCTCGAAGAAATGTTCTTGCAAGATATCTCATTAGTCTCTCCAGAGAAAACAGAATTGTCTGTATTATCTCTGGGGAAGAATGTTCTTGCAAGATATCTCATTAGTCTCTCCATAGAAAACAGAATTGTCTCGTATTATGTCTCGGAAGAATGTTCTTGCAAGATATCTCATTAGCCTCTCCAGAGAAAACAGAATTGTCTCGTATTATCTCTCGGAAGAATGTTCTTGCAAGATATCTCATTAGTCTCCATAGAAAACAGAATTATCGTATTATCTCTCGGAAGAATGTTCTTGCAAGATATCTCATTAGTCTCTCCATAGAAAACAGAATTGTCTCTGTATTATCTCTCGGAAGAATGTCTTGCAAGATATCTCATTAGCCTCCAGAAAACAGAATTGTCTCTTTGCAAGTATCTCATTATCTCCAGAGAAAAACAGAATTGTTCGTATTATCTCTCGGAAGAATCTCAAGATATCTCATTAGTCTCTCCAGATAAAAAAACAGAATTGTCTCTATTATCTCTCGGAAGAATGTTCTTGCAAGATATCTCATTAGTCTCTCCAGAGAAAACAGAATTGTCTCGTATTATCTCTCGGAAGAATGTTCTTTGCAAGATATCTCATTAGTCTCTCCAGAGAAAACAGAATTGTCTCTGTATTATCTCTCGGAAGAATGTTCTTGCAAGATATCTCATTAACCTCTCCATAGAAAAACAGAATTGTCAAATATTCTCGAAGAATGTTCTTGCAAGTATTATGTCTCTCCAAAGAAAAGAATGTTCTTATTATCTTCTCGAAGATATCTCATTAGATATCTCAGATAAAAACAGAAATTGTCTCGTATTATCTCTCGGAAGAATGTTCTTGAAGAATTTTCTGCAAGATATCTCATTAGTCTCTCCAGAGAAAACAGAATTGTCTCTGTATTATCTCTGGGGAAGAATGTTCTTGCAAGATATCTCATTAGAAAACTCTCCATAGAAAACAGAATTGTCTCTCCATAGTATTATCTCTCGGAAGAATGTTCTTGCAAGATATCTCATTAGTCTCCTCCAGAGAAAACAGAATTGTCTCGTATTATTCTCTGGGAAGAATGTTCTTGCAAGATATCTCATTAGTCTCTCCAGAAAGAAAATGTTCTCAAAGATAATTGTCCCGTATTATCTCGTATTATGTCTGGGAAGAATGTTCTTGCAAGATATCTCATTAGCCTTCCAGAAAAGCAGAATTGTCTCTGTATTATCTCTCGGAAGAATGTTCTTGCAAGCTATCTCATTATGTTCTGCCTCTCCATAGAGAAAACAGAATTTTCTCTGTATTATCTCTCGAAGAATGTTCTCGCAAGATATCTCATTAGCCTCTCCATAGAAAACAGAATTGTCTCATATTATCTCTCGGAAGAATGTTCTTGCAAGATATCTCATTAGTCTCCATAGAAAACAGAATTGTCTCGTATTGTCTCGGAAGAATGTTCTTGCAAGATATCTCATTATTCTCCATCCAGAGAAAAACAGAATTGTCTCGTATTATCTCTCGGAAGAATGTTCTTGCAAGATATCTCATTAGCCTCCTCCATAGTATTATGTCTCGGAAAACAGAATTGTCTCGTATTATCTCTCGGAAGAATGTTCTGCAAGATATCTCATTAGTCTCTCCAGAGAAAACAGAATTGTCTCGTATTATCTCTCGGAAGAATGTTCTTGCAAGATATCTCATTAGTTCTTCTCCAGAGAAAACAGAATTGTCTCGTATTATATCTCTCGGAAGAATGTTCTTGCAAGATATCTCATTAGTCTCTCCAGAGAAAAAACAGAATTGTCCTGTATTATGTCTGGGGAAGAATGTTCTTGCAAGAAAAACAGAAAAAAAATTGTCTCGTATTATCTCTCGGAAGAATGTTCATTGTCTCTCCAAGATATCTCATTAGTCTCCAGAAAAAAAACAGAATTGTCTCGTATTATCTCTCGGAAGAATGTTCTTGCAAGATATCCCATTAGCTCTCCATAGAAAAACAGAATTGTCTCTGTATTATCTCTCGGAAGAATGTTCTTGCAAGATATCTCATTAGTCTCCAGAGAAAACAGAATGAATTGTCGTATTATTATCTCTCAGAAAAAGAATTGTTCTTCTCAAGATATCTCATTAGCCTCTCCAGAGAAAACAGAATTGTCTCGTATTATGTCTCGGAAGAATGTTCTTGCAAGATATCTCATTAGTCTCTCCAAAGAAAACAGAATTTTTCTCGTATTATCTCTCGGAAGAATGTTCTTGAAGAAGTCGCAAGATATCTCATTAGTCTCCATAGAAAACAGAATTAATGTATTATCTCTCGGAAGAATGTTCTGAAGATAATGTTCTTGCAAGATATCTCATTATTGCAAGCCTCCAGATAAAAAACAGAATTGTCTCGTATTATCTCTCGGAAGAATGTTCTTGCAAGATATCTCATTAGCCTCTCCAGAGAAAACAGAATTGTCTCTGTATTATATCTCAGGAAGAATGTTCTTGCAAGATATCATTAGCCTCTCCAGAGAAAACAGAATTGTCTCGTATTATGTCTCGGAAAAAATGTTCTTGCAAGATATCTCATTAGTCTCCATCCAGAAGTATTAAAAACAAGAATTGCTTCGCCAGAGAAAACAGAATAGAATCGGAAGAATGTTCTATTATCTCTCGGAAGAATGTTCTGCAAGATATCTCATTAGTCTCCATAGAAAACAGAATTGTCTCTGTATTATGTCTCGGAAGAATGTTCTTGCAAGATATCTCATTAGTCTCCAGAAAACAGAAAAACAGAATTTTCTCTCATTATCTCTCGGAAGAATGTTCTTGCAAGATATCTCATTAGCTCTCCAGAGAAAACAGAATTGTCTAGTATTATCTCTGGGAAGAATGTTCTGCAAGATATCTCATTAGCCTCTCCATAGAAAACAATAGAATTGTCTCTGTATTATGTCTCTCTGAAGAATTAGTTCCAGAGAAAAAACAGAATTGTCACGTATTATCTCGGAAGAATGTTTAGTCTCTCCAGATAAAACAGAATTGTCTCGTATTATCTCTCGGAAGAATGTTCTTGCAAGATATCTCATTAGTCTCTCCAGAGAAAACAGAATTGTCTCTTATTACATCTCGGAAGAATGTTCTTGCAAGATATCTCATTAGTCTCTCCAGAGAAAAAGAATTGTTCGTATTATCTCTCGGAAGAATGTTCTTGCAAGATATCTCATTAGTCTCTCCAGAGAAAAACAGAATTTTCTCTATTATCTCTCGGAAGAATGTTCTTGCAAGATATCTCATTAGTCTCTCCAGAGAAAACAGAATTGTCTCGTATTATGTCTCGGAAGAATGTTCTTGCAAGATATCTCATTAGTCTCTCCAGAGAAAAACAGAATTGTCTCGTATTATGTCTCGGAAGAATGTTCTTGCAAGATATCTCATTAGCCTCTCTCCATAGAAAACAGAATTGTCTCGTATTATCTCGGAAGAATGTTCTCGGATCTCATTGTTCTCCAGAGAAAACAGAATTGTCTCTCATTAGATATCTCATTCTCTCCAGAGAAAACAGAATTTTCTCATGTATTATCTCTCGGAAGAATGTTCTGCAGAAAAAGATATCTCATTAGCCTCTCCAGAGAAAAAAAACAGAAGATTGTCTAGTATTATCTCTCGGAAGAATGTTCTTGCAAGATATCTCATTAGCCTCTCCAGAGAAAAACAGAATTGTCTCTATTATTATGTCTCGGAAGAATGTTCTTGCAAGATATCTCATTAGTCTCCATAGAAAAAGAACTGAATTGTCTCAAGATATCTATTATCTCTCGGAAGAATGTTCTTGTATTAGATATCTCATTAGTCTCTCCAGAGAAAACAGAATTGTCGGAAGAATGTTCGTATTATCTCTCCAGAGAAACAGAATTGTCTCTTATTATGTCTCGGAAGAATGTTCTTGCAAGATATCTCATTAGCCTCTCCATAGAAAACAAAATTGTCTCGTATTATCTCTCGGAAGAATGTTCTTGCAAGATATCTCATTAGTCTCTCCATAGAAAACAGAATTGTCTCGTATTATGTCTCGGAAGAATGTTCTTGCAAGATATCTCATTAGCCTCTCCAGAGAAAACAGAATTGTCTCGTATTATCTCTCGGAAGAATGTTCTTGCAAGATATCTCATTAGCCTCTCCAGAGAAAACAGAATTGTCTCGTATTATGTCTCGGAAGAATGTTCTTGCAAGATATCTCATTAGCCTCTCCAGAGAAAACAGAATTGTCTCGTATTATCTCTCGGAAGAATGTTCTTGCAAGATATCTCATTAGTCTCTCCAGAGAAAACAGAAGAATTGTCTTGCAAGATATCTCATCTCTAGAAAAGAATGTTCTTTATGTCTGGAAGATATCTCATTAGCCTCTCCAGAGAAAAAAACAGAATTGTCTCGTATTATCTCTCGGAAGAATGTTCTTGCAAGATATCTGCAAGATATCTCATTAGCCTCTCCAGAAAAAACAGAATTGTCTCGTATTATCTCTGGAAGAATGTTCTGCAAGATATCTCATTAGTCTCTCCAGAGAAAAACAGAATTTTCCTGTATTATCTCTCAGAAAGAATTGTTCTTGCGGAAGAAGTCCCTTGCAAAGATATCTCATTAGCCTCTCCAAAACACAGAATTGTCTCGTATTATCTCTCGGAAGAATGTTCTTGCAAGATATCTGTATTAGTCTCTCCATGAGAAAAAAAGCTATTCATTAGTCTCTCGTAGAAAACAGAATTGTCTCGGATTAATCAGAAGAATGTTCTTGCAAGATATCTCATTAGCCTCCATAGAAAACAGAATTGTCTCGTATTATGTCTCGGAAGAATGTTCTTGCAAGATATCTCATTAGCCTCTCCAAGAAAAAACAGAATTGTCTCGTATTATGTCTCGGAAGAATGTTCTTGCAAGATATCTCATTAGTCTCTCCAGAGAAAACAGAATTGTCTCGTATTATCTCTCGGGAAGAATGTTCTTGCAAGATATCTCATTAGCAAATATCTCTCTCCATAGAAAACAGAATTGTCTGCAAGATATTATCTCTCCAGAGAAGAATGTTCTTGCAAGATATCTCATTAGTCTCTCCAGAGAAAAAACAGAATTGTCTCGTATTATGTCTCGGAAGAATGTTCTTGCAAGATATCTCATTAGCCTCTCCAGAGAAAACAGAATTTTCTCGTATTATCTCTCGGAAGAATGTTCTTGCAAGATATCTCATTAATCCTCCAGAGAAAACAGAATTGTCTCGTATTATCTCTCGGAAGAATGTTCTTGCAAGATATCTCATTAGCCTCTCCAGAAAAAAAAACAGAATTGTCTCGTATTATCTCTCGGAAGAATGTTCTTGCAAGATATCTCATTAGCCTCTCCAGAAAAAAAAACAGAATTGTCTCGTATTATGTCTCGGAAGAATGTTCTTGCAAGATATCTCATTAGCCTCTCCAGAGAAAAACAGAATTGTCTCGTATTATGTCTCGGAAGAATGTTCTTGCAAGATATCTCATTAGTCTCTCCAGAGAAAACAGAATTGTCTCGTATTATCTCTCGGAAGAATGTTCTTGCAAGATATCTCATTAGTCTCTCCAGAGAAAAAAAGAATTGTCTCGTATTATCTCTGGGAAGAATGTTCTTGCAAAGATATCTCATTAGCCTCTCCAGAAAACAGAATTGTCTCTGCATTATCTCTCGGAAGAATGTTCTCAAGATATCTATTATCTCTCCAGAAAAAAAGAATGTTCTTGGGAATAAGTTCTTGCAAGATATCTCATTAGCCTCTCTCCAGAGAAAACAGAATTTTCTCGTATTATCTCTCGGAAGAATGTTCTTGCAAGATATCTCATTAGTCTCTCCAGAAAAAACAGAAGATTATCTCGGAAGAATGTTCTTGCAAGATATCTCATTCTCTCCATAGAAAACAGAATTTTCTCGTATTATCTCTCGGAAGAATGTTCTTGCAATATATCTCATTAGCCTCTCCAGAGAAAACAGAATTGTCTCGTATTATGTCTCGGAAGAATGTTCTTGCAAGATATCTCATTAGCCTCTCCAGAGAAAACAGAATTGTCTCGTATTATGTCTCGGAAGAATGTTCTTGCAAGATATCTCATTAGCCTCTCCAGAGAAAACAGAATTGTCTCGTATTATCTCTCGGAAGATTGTTCTTGCAAGATATTCATTACCTCTCCAGAAAAACAGAATTGTCTCGTATTATCTCTGGAAGAATGTTCTTGCAAGATATCTCATTAGCCTCTCCAGAGAAAAACAGAATTGTCTCGTATTATCTCTCGGAAGAATGTTCTTGCAAGATATCTCATTACTCTCTCCAGAATGTATATTCATTAGCCTCTCCAGAAAAAACAGAATTGTCTCGTATTATCTCTCGGAATAATGTTCTTGCGGAAGATATCTCATTAGTCTCTCCATAGAAAACAGAATTGTCTCGTATTATGTCTCGGAAGAATGTTCTTGCAAGATATCTCATTAGCCTCTCCAGAGAAAACAGAATTGTCTCGTATTATCTCTCGGAAGAATGTTCTTGCAAGATATCTCATTAGCCTCTCCAGAGAAAAACAGAATTGTCTCGTATTATCTCTCGGAAGAATGTTCTTGCAAGATATCTCATTAGTCTCTCCAGAGAAAAACAGAATTGTCTCGTCCGGATTATGTTCTCAAGATATCTCATTAACCTCTCCATATAAAAAAATTGATCTGTTCGGAAGAATGTTCTTGCAAGATATCTCATTAGTATTATCTCTCTCCAGAGAAAACAGAATTGTCTCGTATTATCTCTGGGAAGAATGTTCTTGCAAGATATCTCATTAGCCTCTCCAGAGAAAACAGAATTTTCTCGTAATGTCTTGTTCTTGCAAGATATATTATCCAGAGAAAAAAAAACAGAAT